GATATACAATATGCTGCAGTCTTTACTGACCTGTGTAGAGGAGTCATGTTATAGCTCTGTGTACCTGGTGGTATATACAATAGGCTGCAGTCTTCACTGACGAGTGTAGAGGAGTCATGTTATAGCTCTGTAAACCTGGTGGGATATACAATAGGCTGCAGTCTTTACTGACCTGTGTTGAGGAGTCATATTATAGCTCTGTGTACCTGGTGGTATATACAATAGGCTGCAGTCTTTACCGAACTTTGTAGATGAGTCATGTTATAGTCCTGTAAACCTGGTGGGATATTTCAATAGGCTGCAGTATTTACTGAACTGTGAAAAGGAGTCATGGTATAGCCCTGTAAACCTGGTGGGATATACAATAGGCTGCAGTCTTTATAGAACTGTGTAGAGGAGTCATGTTTTAGCCCTGTAAACCTGGTCCGATATACAAAAGGCTGCAGTCTTTACTGACCTGTGTAGAGGAGTCATGTTATAGCCCTGTAAACCTGGTCGGATATACAATAGGCTGCAGGCTTTACTGACCTTTGTAGAGGAGTCATGTTATAGCCCTGTAAACCTGGTCGGATATACAATAGGCTGCAGGCTTTACTGACCTTTGTAGAGGAGTCATGTTATAGCCCTGTAAACCTGGTCGGATAAACAATAGGCTGCAGTCTTTATAGAACTGTGTAGAGGAGTCATGTTTTAGCCCTGTAAACCTGGTCGGATATGCAATAGGCTGCAGTCTTTACTGACCTGTGTAGAGGAGTCATGTTATAGCCCTGTAAACCTGGTAGGATATACAATAGGCTGCAGTCTTTACTGAACTGTGTAGAGGAGTCTTGATATAGCCCTGTAAACCTGGTGGGATATACAATAGGCTGCAGTCTTCACTGGACTCTGTAGGATAGCATTGTTATACTAAAAAGTAACATACAATAACAATAAGTATGTGTAATATGCTCTGAACAATTACAGAATTTATAACTTACTTCCTGAGACTGTCAGTGTGGTAGCACTACTTTGTCCAGTTCCTACAGAGTTGGTGGCGAAACAGGTGTAGGTACCACTGTCAGCTGTGTTAGCGTTGAGAACGGTCAGGGACGGAGAATTGACCGTAGAGCCGGAGTAGTTGACACCATCAATGGTGATGGTCTGTGTGCCAGAACCAATATTACGCTGCCAGAACACGTTGGTATGGGCGGGGTTGGCAGACACGGTACATCCCAGGGTTATACTGTTTCCTGTGTTAGTACTGTACGCAAGTTGTGAAATGGTTACCGATGGAACAGCTGAAAGTTGAATTAAAAATGTGAAACAATATGCTACCTCAAGCCATTAGAAACAAGAGAAATAAACTACTGCCTGAAGCCATTAGAAAAAAAGAGAAACAATCTACTGCCTTAAGCCATTAGAGTTTTCCCCAGTTTTAATAATTTAATAAGCAAGTTGTTTTTCTCCTTTATTGTTTGTGATCCACCAGGAATTATACCCAGGGCTACAGATACCTAGTCCAATGCTCTACAAACTGTGACAAACTCTAATCAAGCAACAAGTAACAAGCAAGGAGGCTGTGTTCACAATATCCAGGTCCTTGTTTGGGCTATAATGTAACCAAAGGGGACCTCAAATGATAAGAATCGTCTCCTGGACGGTAGGTTACCGCAGCAACTGCATGGGTCTACTGATTGACTGAAAGGGAAACCTTAGCCGAGTCAGAAATAAACAACTTAATGGCCCATCATGGTCCATCACTCTGACACTTGGAACTCCTGCTGTCCTCAATAAAGTCTATCACTCAACACACATTTTGATCAGCTGGGTACAAACCTAAGGATACATCATATTTGACTGTAAATAAACCTCCAACAAGATTGACCACACGTGAGCCTCCACCTACTCCCGTCAACAAAAATTCAGCATGACTCAGAGAGGCTCAGTTGTGACACTTACCTCCAGATACTGTCAGTTGAGTTTGAGAGCTCTGTCCAGTTCCACTAGAGCTGGTAGCAAAGCAGGTGTATAATCCAGAGTCATTAGAGTCAGCATTAATGACAGTTAAGGATGGAGAGCTGACCGATGATCCGGAGTAATTGATGTTGTCAATGGTCAGAGTGGAGGTCACTCCGTTGACAAGTCTCTGCCAGAACACATTACTTATTGCTACTGATGATGACACCGTGCACTGCAATGTGATGGAGTTGCCAGTTGTAGTACTATAGGCAGTTTGGCCGACTGTCACAGAAGGCACAGCTGAAATTTAACAGGGCAGTATATCACTAACATGGTAGTACAATCATAATTCATAGAGGCTGACCCCAAAAACAATTGCAAAATAGAATTTGTCTCTTAAAATCATCTTGAATTTCAGTATATAATTAATAATAAGACACTACATACATCTGTGATCTGTCAACAACCATTTTCTACAAAGTATGCACATAATCAGACCAATCGAGCAGAAACTATAGTTTGAAAGATTCAGCCAATCAGAAACTTTGGTAGCCATCTTGTATTAAGGAGTCCAATTAATATCTTTATTTACAATATAAACTATTATTATACGGTGCCAATAGTCACTTAGTGATAAAAATTCTACCATTGGATTGTTTTGTTTTTTCAATGTTTTACGCCCATGGACAATGTAAGTCATTCAGGGCCAAACATCACCATAACATTTGACATTTACGTTAAAGAATACACCAAACTACAAGCAAATAGGTTAAAAGGCATAATAGGCATAACAATACAATGATAGCCAAAGAAATGAATGCAAAATACATTCTATCTAATATTGTAAAGATTAGCTAAATGTAAACTAGAACTATAAGCTAAAGGCTAACTACTACCTCCCGCTCCTATTTAAACCAGAACTATAAGCCAAAGGCTAACTACTACCTCCCGCTCGTATTTAAACCAGAACTGTAAGCGAAAGAGTAACTAAGGTAAGCATCGCAAGGCAATCAATAGTCTCCCACCAGTAATGATTTCTTTATTCGCTGAGCTGTACACATATTCAAGTAGATAAGGTCACTAAAATAGCGGAAATTACCTGTAAACTTTCATTGAAATCGGCCAAGAAGTTTAGGAGACCATAACTCCTTTTAAACTGGTCGGAATGGAAAAGTACTACTTGGATACACAACGTTAGAGGCAGATACCATATATGTAAACTTTCTTTGAAATTGGTCCAGTAGATTTGGAGAAGTTGTAAGGACAAGGATTTTTCAACAAAGGGCCATAACTCCATAAAAAAGGGTTGGACAAAATACCTTGATGCACAACATCAGGAGGTAGTTATCATATCTGAAAACTTACGTTGAAATTGGACCCATAGTTTTGGAAGAGTTGTCTGGACATATATTTTTCAACAAAGGGCCATTACTCCGTAAAAAAGGGTCAGATTGAATAAATAATACCTGGATGCATAACAGCAGGTGGTAGTTATCATATCTGAAAACATTAATTGAAATTGGCCCAGTGGTTTTGGATAAGTTGTTTGGGCAAGCCTTTTTCAACTAAGGGCAACAACTCTGTAAAAAAGGGTCAAAATGAAAAAAATAATACCTGGATGCTCAAGTTCAGTTGATAGTTATCATATTCGGAAACTTACGTTGAAATGGATCCATAACTTTGGAAAGAGATGTCCGGACAAAAATGTTCAGGATTTGTTCAACAAAGGGTCATTACTTCGTTAGAAAGGGTCAGAATGGAAAATAATATCTGAAAGCAAAACTTCAGGGGTGGAAGTTATCATATCAGGAAAGTTTCGTTGAAATTGGTTCATTACTTTAGAAGGAGTTGTACGGATAAACTTTTCTACGGACGGAGAGAGAATCTGATTGCAGTATAACCCCCTAACTTCCCTTTGGGAGGTATACTAATCATATATTTATTGCACAAAAGCTGTTAGCAACAAAAAACAAATCTAGCTTTAAATATCTAAGCGTATCAGAATTGACTTGACTAATCAGAAGTAAAAGATGGCGACTTGACTAATCAGAATTGAAGGACGGTGACTTGAACAGTGAAGAAGTTTGGGATCTTGGTAATAATGTAATGAGTACAAACAGTACATTGTATATGTACTGATGACTATTAAATCTGTAAATGTTTTTGAGTACTCCTTTTTTATATTGGTCAGGACGACCAATACTTTTAAGGCGTGGGTGATGTAGTGTGCGTTTAACAAATCTTTTGAAAATAAAGATCAAACATATTCCTGCGTATGATATATACATTATAAACACAAAAAAGAAGTCTGCTAAAGAAATCTACTACTTAAGCATCGACTATATATAGAGGAATAATATAAGAAAAGAGTAACTACTGGAAGATATTTGTTTATGTGAGCAAGGTTTCATTAAATTTATTATAAACAGTTAAAAATTATGGTCTGCAAAAGAACTTGCTTGGAGTTGTACCTTGATTTGACCTCTAACACTAGCTAGTTACAGTGCTCTCCGATCCCTCTATGGGTGATGCAGGAACACTTCAAGTTTAATCAAAATATCATTAGCAGTTTAAAAGTTATGATCAAATAAGGCTTTGCTTGAAATTTTACACTTATCTGACTTTTGACCTTGTCAAGATCACAATGAGAACATTTATATGCATTGAATACTGATGATACAATTTGTCTCCATTCATTCGAATACGGGACATAACAAGTTTTAATTTGCCCAAATCACCACAAATGATGTATCAGAAAGAGCTCACTATGTCAAGTTACACCTACATATCAAAGTGTGTGAGCAAGATTGTACAATATCCAAACTTTGACCGATCAGAAGGTGGTCCATGGCGGATATATCGTTCAGTGACCTAATGGAAGTCTTGTTCAGAGTTTGATGTGCCATAATATACCAAAATAAAACATAGGAGCTAAAACGAACATCTGAATTTCGACCAACCACATGGTCAATGGTAGCCATCTTGTTGAATGACTAAATCGATGTTATAATAGAGTTTGAAGTGTTAATACCAAGATTGAGCAAAACATTACAATATCAGAATTTCAACCAACCACAGGTCAGTCAATGGTAGCCATCTTATTTAACAATAAAATGGAAGTTTTAGAGTTTACAGTGTAATGATATACCAAGATACCTAATTTCAGCAAATTCAAATGATGTCTTATTTTGACCAAACAAACAAGTTTATCGTGATAATTTTGTTGAAAAAGTCTACTTTGGTTTTTCACACTTGAAGAATGTCACATACTTATTTTTTAAATAATAAATACTATAAACCAATATATCTCAAGCCATCGCACCCAAGTCTGCCATCATTTCGGAGAAAAGACTGTTATGCACATATACACAAGCATATTAATACTCATTAAGTTACTTTAGTATCAGGAGAAGACAAGATGCTATTCTATCAGAAAAAGAAGTGGTTTACGCACGTTTACAAAATGTCATGCATATCTTAACATTTGTGAAATGTCATCAGTTTACGAAGCAGAAGAAGCAGAAGCAGATACACAGCAAAAGCAAAAGCAGTAAGTCCCAAAACTTGTTTGGAAGACTTAAAAAGCTTGTTTAGGGGACTTAATTACATGACGAAACGACGACAGAGGCTGTGACACTGCTTCCTGTTCCTGCAGCATTGACAGCAAAGCAGGTGTAGGATCCTGAGTCTGAGACGTCAGCATTAATTATTGTTAGTGTTGGACTTGATAAAGTTGATCCTGAGAAGTTCACCCCATCTATGGTGATCGTCTGTGTCCCTGAGCCAATATCACGTTGCCAGAAGATATTGGTAACCGTTGACACAGAGGAAACTGTACAGCCAAGGGAGATCGTGGTGGACACTTGAGCACCAAAGCTCGTCTGGGCAATGGTCACAGTAGGAACTAGATTTAATAAATAAATCACTTAAATTCTTAGCAAAACAATCTTCTTTATGTTGATAAATTATCACTCTGTAAAGGTGTGTGACTTGACAGAAACTCTCCCCTTTACAGAGGCTTCAACACAAACTCTCCCCTTTAAAGGGGCTTCAACACAAACTTTCCCCTTTAAAGAGGTTTCAACACAAACTCTCCTCTTTAAAGGGGCTTCAACACAAACTTTCCCCTTCAAAGGGTTTTCAACACAAACTTTCCCCTTTAAAGAGGCTTCAACACAAACTTTCCCTTTTAAAGAGGCTTCAACACAAACTCTCCCCTTTAAAGAGTCTTCAATAATAATAATAATGATTCGAGTTTCTTATGAACCGCTTTATCACACCTAGTTCGTAGGTCGTCTCAAAGCAGTTCACAAATTGTTATCCGTGGTTATAGGGCCTTTGCAACCAGCCAATATCTTTCTCAACTCCCTGGGGAGCATTTAACAAGGCCCCTATTACAACAACTTCTCCTTTTAAGTGGCTCCATGACAAGAGCTTCTACGAGAGCAGAGAACACAAATGAGCTATAAAGTGATACACTGTGAACTTTTGTAATAAGTCATTTCATTGCAAGAATTAGTGTCATGGTGGATTTTTATTGACCAATCAGATGTCGTGAAACACGGGAAAAGAAACCCCAGTCGAAAATGGGTCTAAACTGTGTTTACTTTATTTTTAGACGATAAGGATTTGAAGAAATATCACCAGTTTAGAACATCGTGATTCTGAAATGTATAGCCGATGATATGCTCGAATTTAAACATTTTATAAGATATACAATGCACAGGAATGAATCGTTCTATGTATTGATTACGACATAGCTGCCCACAAATTGATGGGGTCCACGTGTAAAAGTGCTATATTTTCCCAGATCTTCTCGAATTTTGGGATTCAGTCAAAACCTAACCGTTCCATGGAATTAACTTTGCATTTGAAAGTTATATTGTTTATTTTATTTTTCACATTTATAGTTGTGTTATGCAAACATATCCGCTCGCGATTCAGATTCACATGCACTTTTCGGTGTTTTGTTGTAAATTACGTAAAACTTGCTCAGGTTTGATTACTTGCAGCGCTCTTTAGATGTAGCATTTTATTTAAATGATATTCTATTTTATAACAACATTGAGTCCCTCGCGTTCAAAGAAATCCTTTACTTGTAGGCCTACGTAACGGCAGTCCCTTAATGTTTGTCTCGATACTTGAGCAGTAATTAAAGATGAAACAAACACGTTTCAATAAATAAGTGATTTATAGTTCTAACACAGATATACATATCAGACTTGAAACTAGTTATCATACCGACGGGTGAACCTGATAGGTCCGTCGGGTCGAAGACATCGTTCGGTCATGACATTGTTTACATAACGCGTCCAGGTGTGACACTAGCATAACTAATTGATTTACTCCATTTACCAATGATCATTTTTGTGACAGTGACCAAAAAATAAAGTGATTTTAAGCGAAACTGACATCAAAATAAGTGATAATAGAATAATTGAATTACATAGATAACAGGAACAAGAATTACGCGTAGTAATATGTGTCGCCTGTCCCGCTTTGTCAATATAATAAGCATTTGACATAGTACATAAGGAAACGGACCTAAACGCAAAACCATAACATTGATTTTTTTTAAATCCAGAAATTTCAGGTTTTTTTCCAAAAAAGTGCAGAAATCCATGAAATGTTTTCAGAGTAGTAGGCTCTACTACCCATGATACATGTATGATTTAGGTTTGGTTGGTCTAGCTCTTATACTTTGTCAGAAAGAGCCTAATATGCAAGAGCTAAACGCAAAACCTTAACGTTGAGTTTTTTTCTAAGTCCAGAAATTTGAGGTTTTAACCAGAAAAATGCAGAAATCAATGAAATGTTTTTAGTGCAGTAGGCTCCACTACCCATGCTACATCTATGATCGAGGTTTTGTTGGTGTAGCTTTGTCAGAAACAGAGCTAAACGCAAAACCTTAACATTGTTGACGCCGCCGTCGCCGTCGGAATAAGAGCGCCTATGTGTCTTTCCGACATCCGTTGTAGGCGACACAACAATGATTAAGAAAACATGACAATAACCGAAAAGTGACATTAAGCGATGTGATATGGTTAGAGTGCTGATATATTAACCTTTGCCTCATTGAGGTGCCGTAGACTGTCTCTTAGCTGTACCTAAATGTACAGTGTTATACCCCCTCCTTTACTCTTACTCAGACACACTCACATGCTCTCTTACTTACCCTGAGCCAGCACTCCGGGTAAAATCACGGATGCCAGCAGAATGACTGCTGAAAATCTATACATTTTGGCAAGCTATATGTCTCTCTATCAATAAAGTTGGTTTATTCTGGTACAAAAGTGGCTCGAAATCTGTCCACTCTGCTTGCTGGTGAGGTCGGTGTTGCTATTGGAGAGTGACCATGTACCACCTCAGTCCATCCAAGCTGGCTCACCTGTAACACATACACACTGTTTTAGGTTCCATGTACCACCTCAGTCCATCCAAGCTGGCTCACCTGAAACACTTAGGTTCCATGTACCACCGCCAAAAAATGTAACAATGCACTGAACAATGTATTTTGGCTTATAGCTTTTACGAATCATTTCTGCTTTTTTGAGAAACATGAACAGTATTCTGAGAGCTGCAGTGGGACAAGGATCCTTAATGTTTGAGATCTCATAAGAGTTTGAGTGCTTGTCTGTTCACGGTAAAACAGCGAGTTCCTTAATGAAGCAGATTTTTGTATTCTGAAAATTAATTCTCACCAGTTTGATAGAGAAAACAAGAGGTATTTTCACTTTCAACTACTTATGTAGTAGAAAAACACTCAAATTTGCTATACCTAGAATAATTATTCTATTAACCCTTTCACCCATATGTGACTTTAGCTAACTCTTCCATGCATTTATTTGGATGAGTCCATTTTGGTCTCCAGTGGTGAAAGGGTTAAAGTATGAATATCTTAGCTTTAACTTACTTAACACAAAAAAGTGACCATTTCCTCACTGCCATAAATACAAATTTAACTTCATGTCATTTATGAATGTCCTAGTAATGCTTCATTTTGTTATGTTTCAATATTTTTTTTGATTTATTTTGGTACAGCATTGACTTACCTGTTGTTATTATAAGCTGAAGCTGACTATTAAGAGGGGTTGAGCTGTAGAGCTGTACAAGTCTGTCACCACTTACCTGTTGTAATTATAAGCTGAAGCTGACTATTAGGAGGGGATGAGCTGTAGAGCTGTACAAGTCTGTGACCACTTACCTGTTGTAATTATAAGCTGAAGCTGACTATTAGGAAGGGATGAGCTGTAGAGCTGTACAAGTCTGTCACCACTTACCTGTTGTTATAATAAGCTGAAGCTGACTATTAGGAGGGGATGAGCTGTAGAGCTATTCAAGTCTGTGACCACTTTCAGCACGCTATATAAGAACATGCACTTTGACCCTGGGACATAGGCCTGCTGTAGATGAAAAAGAAACACGGTTAAGGTGCCTTATTTATCATAAAATCTTGTTTTAAAAGTATCTAAAATTAAAACGAAATGTATTTATCCATCACCTCTCCTTCTGGCCTCCTTAGATATTGCTATCATTCCTTTTTATCATAGATTGAACAGAGCTATACATATAGGTGGCATTTTTGTACCCCATGTTTAAGTATATTTCAGAAAAAACTTTTCAAGTTTAAAATATACATGTCGTTTTGAATAGAAATGTCCATTTTCAATTCAATTGAGGTGTTTTTGTTGTTGTGAACTTAACAGTTTTACAAGCTTGCTAGTGATAAGAGTACTCAGAAGCAGATATAATTTCTACTTATACAGTAATTATAGTTAAGACTATGGTAAATGTGTATTTCTGAGTAATTAGTTTGTACATAATTATTCCTGAAACAATGTTTTTGTGGTTCAAGGAAACAAAAGTTTTCAATTAAAAAAAAATATGGGTTTACTAGTAAAATTTCTTAATTCAAATAAAATTGTTAGCAAAATTTATTCTATAGGTAAAGTTTAGAAATAAAACCGTTAATGCAAAAAATAAGAGACAATTCTTAAAGTGATCTTGATTCCATGCTTAAGTACGTTAATGGTGACTGATCAGAGACACTTGATTTCATGCTTAAGTCGTTAATAGTGACTGATCAGAGACACTTGATTTTATGCTTAAGTCGTTAATAGTGACTGATCAGAGACACGTGATTTCATGCTTAAGTCGTTAATGGTGACTGATCAGAGACACTGGATTTCATGCTTAAGTTGTTAATGGTGACTGAACAGAGACACTGGATTTCATGCTTAAGTCGTTAATGGTGACTGATCAGAGACACTTGATTCCATGCTTAAGTTGTTAATAGTGACTGATCAGAGACACTTGATTCCATGCTTAAGTTGTTAATGGTGACTGATCAGAGACACTTGATTTCATGCTTAAGTCGTTAATAGTGACAGATCAGAGACACTTGATTTCATGCCTAAGTCGTTAATAGTGACTGATCAGAGACATTTCTACTACGCAAACATAAAGGTGAGGGATATTATGAAATGAACTTTCGAAAGAACAATAGGCGCATGGGGCCTGTATTGCTTCCCTGTTTATACTTGGATAAGGTTTTGACAATATGAGACCATGTTGGTCACGTTTAACGGAGCCAAACAGTAACAATCTACCAGAGTAATATGAGAGTATTACGACCAAAAAGATTAAAATGTATGATATGCAATTGGAGTATGATAGTTAAAATGTCTCCCCAAATTAGAGGAAAAGCTTGCAATTTCGGATTTTCTAATCAACCCAAAACATATCAGCACCTCTTAATGTTTACAACTGTGACAGGATTATTAAACGCATGCACCAAGATTAGGTAAACTTGGCCTGATTGAATGCTGAAACAACCCCAAAATATAACACAAGTTGGTCAGTGATTATTTGCACTTTGTATTTTTGTTTTTTAAATGTCCTAAAAACCGATCACATGAACATTTAGGAGAATATTTCAGCTAATCAGGGGCACGTTTGGGGAGTTGCATCTTGGATTTGAATCGGCTCAAAAAACAACATGCTCACTCGGTAAAGGCCATGAGATAATTTTAGCACAAAGCTTGAGTGAGATTGACAAATGGAAAATAGAAACATGAGAAGATGAATGGCATCCCCTTCATCTATACAAATGTACTGACTCGTCCTGGTTCAGTGCCAGTTCATAACGAATGAGGCTAAAATAACTTCACCTTGACCTTGCTTGAGATAAAATACTATGATAACCTTGGCTATTAGAGTTATTCATCACGCTACATAGTTGCATACCGATTATTTCAAAGCGTAAATTTTCTTACAAAGTAACGTAACACATTGAAATTAGTGTTGTATATGATATTTGATATAATAATAGTCAGCCTTTTAACTTTGCCCAGTCCATCTGAGTTGGGTAAACCAGAAGTGTTAGCTACGGTTTACTGATCCAACCAACCGCCACCCACACATTTACCATCGGAATGCTTGAAATGCAGCCAATCACAATCAAATAATAAAGATGTTTAGACCGACAAGATATACTGAGAATTATTCTAAATATGATGTGTATTTAAATCAGAAAAGGTGATATATCTCTCATAAATGATGATTTGCACCTAGTTTGCCCAGAAAGACTACACATATATTAAAGGCTTACACGACTCATATATTGATTATAAATGCATCTAGAATTAAGTGTTTTGTTGATGTTGAATTTAAGATTTTATTGGAATCTGAACATTATTTTAAAAATTGTCCAGACAATTATTTAAATCATGATGTAGGGAAAAGGGAAATAACTCCCTTAATAATAAAAATAGAAAGAAAAAACACCAACAAAAAGGTGCTTCAGTATATGATGATGTGATTCTGTGCAACAAGGGTAGTAACAATCTGTATAGTGGTATAGAACTACTATATATACCCACCAAGGTTAGTAACACTCTGTATAGTTGTATAGAACTACTATATATACCCACCAAGGGTAGTAACACTCTGTATAGTGGTATAGAACTACTATACATACCCACCAAGGGTAGTAACACTCTGTATAGTGGTATAGAACTACTATA